TAAAAGATGATGCTTTATGCCAAAACACGGAGCAAGTTCCTGTCCTCTGCAAGCATCAATCTAACTTCTAAATTTTGGTTAACCCAATATGTGTGTGTGTATGTATACGTATATATGTGTGTGTGTGTGTGTGTGTGTGTATAGGTATTTATGTTCACATACGAGTTTCACTTTAGTAATAATCAAATACATTTTCACAAACACTTGTATGTCAAACTTCATAGGAAGGAAACTGTGCTAACAAGTTCAACACAGAAAGCTTGAATTAGCAACATTTTGATTATGAATCCATATGAAGCTGCATGTGCACGTCAAGGACATTAATTCTGAGTAGATAATGACCAAAAATTATTTAGATTTCTGTGGTAAAGACAGTTGAACAGTATAATGATCTTTGTCATTATACATTCTAATTCACAACGGGAAATTACCAAAAGCGTACAGAATTTGTATTTTGGTAACAGTTAAAACCTGGTTTTAGTGTACAGTAAGATACAGGTGCAGTAAGTATGAAATTCCCTTCAGCTCAACTCTGGAGCACATTGCAAAAGCAACATACTTCATACTCTACTGCAGTAAATTGCATAGTTACATGAGCAAAAACACCTAYATATGAGGTTTGGCTGTAATGACAAATGAAAAAGCTTGTACACATTTCAAAAAAATCCCTCATGGCAACCATAGTTYCTTTTTATTACTATTACTCTTAAAAATCCATTTTGAATTGGAAAGCTTCACCGTAAATAGAGCAGGCAGATGACTCTGCAAACGGTTTATTTTATCCCCTTTTTAAGTTCTGCAACTCCTTTATAGTACATGTTTAGGCATAGGACTTTTCATGATTTTTCTAATTAAAGTCATTCACAACATTGGTGATTCAGTTCAATTCACAGAACATCATCAAATAAACACAAGCTTTCTCCCCTCCCCCAAAAAAGGTATATTTCCAGTTTAGATATAAAAATAAGGACTGAAATTACTCACAACAAACCAGAAGTATTCTTGAGTTCATTTATACTTTTCTCTGGAACCTTGCTGCCGCTAAACCATTTTTTAGTAGCAGTAAACAGTGACCGACTCAAGCCTTTCCTGGATATTAACTGCAGAAAGACATTGAATTAGAGCACTACATTGCAAGAGATGTAAGTTAAACCAATCCAAAAAGTCAAGTTTCATTAAGGCTTCCTAAATTTTTTGTCCCATAAAACAGAAATAAATAAGAAAAGTAAGAAGAACAAAATAACTAAGAGCATACTTCTTTAGAATYAATCACTGACACTGAGGAAAAAATAAATATTTAAGTTGCAACTTCTAATTCAGACAACTGAAGTCCACTATTCTTGCTGCATACTGCAGACACCTCCATCTCAAGTATAGAAACATTTGATATATCTGTCTGAAAACTAAATTCTAAATAATTATAATATCTAATTATGGCTATCTGTCCAACCTAAAACCTAAGTTACGTGCATACTACAAGAAAGAACCCTCTCCCTGTCACCATCCACATAAAGCATTATTATGCCATGATCATCAATTTCAAATGTCAGAGGTACAAGGCACACCCGCAAGCAAGGTTACACAACTTCATTCTTTCAGATAATTTCCACTTAGAAGGAAACTTCCACAGAGAACTACCACTATCATCCTGTAAGGCAAACCATATCCCTCTTTCAAGGTAATTTTAAAAAGCAGAACACCTCTCTTTTCTTACTAGGACTAGGAACTTACCACTGCATTCCTGTTTGCTACATTTATGTAATCACTTCTTTTTAATGTTTCTTCATAGAACTTACTAAGCATGAACAAGGTCAGCACATACAAACTCGCAAAAGACAATTCAGGGAGTGAGCATTCCTTACAGGACATGGTCCTTAGTATGAACACCSCTAACACTTAAAACTCTAAAATTAAATCAAAATAAAATCACAGCTCAGACAACAGACTGATATTTGGGTCCAAGTCCTAATGCTAAATACAGGAATTTGATTGTATTAATATAAGTCAATCCATCTCTGCAGCTGTTTAAGAGCACATCAGAGTGAAACACTTGTAAAAGACAGGACTCCACTGTGATGCAAACAACTTTAATGCATGTCTTTGACTCAACATGGGCATGATATTAACAATCACACCTTCAAAAATTCCTAGTTTGAGAGAAGCATATTTGGCTGCAAAAAATGCTGAGATCAACAGAATTACACAATTCACAATGTCCCTGCATTTCTTCCTTTCCAGCAACTGAAGTACGCAGCTTTTTTTTTTTGCAGACATACTGATGAAATACGTATCTTAAATTTAGCTGTGTATTCTGATGCTGAAACACAAAAAGTCCATTTTGTTCCCCTTGACAGAATTGTCCAAGAGTGTAGAATTTTAAGATTTTAGGGTCAAGGACAGATTTCCCTGATAGCAGGTCAGACAGGCTTTCACCAAGAAAAGCCTGCAGTTGCACTGGAGCTGTTGATACAAATTAGTTGTTGTTTTTAAAGACAAATTTAGCATAAATTGTAACTTCAGTTATTTCTCTGAAATCTACTTACAGTTTTCAGAAAGACAATTGAATCGTTACATGCAGAAGCAAGTAATACTGTCAAAACATATTTTTAGATAACTGGGTTTGTACCCCAACCATTTGTCCTTATTACAGCACAAAGTGATTTTAAGGGTAAACTGACCTGATCATTGAGCTGTCGAATTGTCTTCTCTATGTGTGGCAAAAGTCCCCGAAACGTGAATTCCTGTATGAACTGCCTAATTCGATCGTGATCTGTGAGAGTTAAACAAGCACCATGAGRTGTCCCAGAATTTGTCTTCTTCGAGTCTTGCAGTGATGTAGAAGCCTTCATGTAATCAGTGCTATCCAAACTGCCACTGGGATGATCCAGTTGAAGGGGGTGAGTCTTAAAGTTATTTGACAAGCCATCTGTTGAAAGATTGAAACAAAAACCCCAGTAAATACAAAGTTACTTTAACAGTTTGGGTTTGAAAGGCCATTTTTACTAACCTWCTTCAAAGCTTTCCTTACTCAAAACTCTGTCAAGCAAAGCTACTCACCAACTATTTTGCACTACCAATCAATGCTGAGCAGCCAGCAGCAAGAGTCCTATCTGAGTAATGGATCATTCCTGGAATTCTTCAGAAAGTTCAGGGAATCTCAAGAACTACAACCCGGCTAAATATGTGTGGTTTTTGTTCTCAATTACAGTGCAAAAACAATTTTCCAGTATGGTGATTAGTATCAACAACATTGAAGGAAAATTATGGAAACATTAAAATCAAAATAAAATATTTATGAAAAGTTGGAAATGCAGCAATTATTACACAATGGCTCCACCGGGTCCTTTTTTTTTCCTTCTGCTTATGTTTTAAGGTTTGAAAATAACAACAAAGCAAACCTAATTTTCCATGTCCTTCCAAGCAATCGTGATGTAAACAATTTCCTCCAAAGTCCTCTTTGTTCAGTGAGAAGGGCAGCTGACCACTATTGCATTTAGCTATCTGAAMCAGACTGAGACACTGCTTCACTCTAAGACTTAAGCAGTTCTCTTATTTGTAAGAAAATCAGCTTGCCCTAGCTGGCACTGAACAAAACTGAGCTGTGAAAGCAAATCCTTAACAGATTTTACTCATGAAATGTAAAGCTGAGTTGGTAAAGTTCAAGCAGCAGCTCCCAGACTGCATCTGGGCTGCAGGGCCTTAGAAAGATGGCAACTGCAGGCTCTCCTACACATGCTAGGTCTCCACATGCCTTTCAGGTCATCTACCAAGGATCTGGGCTGAGGCACACCAGACAACGCAGGGCACCTCACTTCTTCCCTATTTGATGATGCCTATCACCTGCATCCTACAAAGCTATCTTAATTATCTTTTAAGAGTGCATTAATTTGCACTCAATTTCATTGACTACCATTTTCCATCCACAAGCTGAGCTCCAAGGAAAGTGCTTCCAAACAACTTACAAACTAGGCATTTACCAGACATTTACAGATTTAATACCAAAACCAAGGCCAAAATACCTCCAAAACCTCATCTTCCAATTTATAGTTGAGCACACAAATCAAAATTTTCATTATTATGAAAACAGACCATTTAATCCTATGTTATTTTTACTAATTACCAGAGTTTGCAGACAATCTGCTAAATCTTAAAAAAATGTGATCCCAACACATGATGAGTCATCTCATTAAGGAGATGCCACCAATCCACAGATCAGTACCACAGTATTTTCCTTTGAGGACACTTAAGAGTATTTAGAAAACCATTACTTTGAATTCCCTAATGAATCACCTAATTAATTACTGCCCAAGACACAAGACAYTTGTGTATATAATATCAAGTTTTTCATAAAGTTACAAAAATACCTTTCATTTCACTGTCTATGCCATCTGCTATCAAGTGGTCAGTATTCTTGTTTGAAACAGTATAATCTTCATAGCAATCCTGCCAGAAAAGGGGGGAAAAAGGCAGAACTTTAGGACTACTCAACCACATGCAAAAGTCAGTAAAYAGTTGTCAACTTCAGTAACTTAACTGAATTACTACAACAGCATGTTTGTTCATATATGTTAACTTCTCTAAGTAGTTTCTGAGGATTTAAAAAACTGTCTTATTTTAAAGATGGAAGTTATATTCACCAAATGAAGGAAGTACATTCTGACTTGCTCAACCAGCTTCCCTGTCAACCAAAGCAACTCCAACTCTTACAAAGCAATGCCTACAGTAACAAAAATATATTCCCTAAAGCAGTTCCTGAATAAGCTCCCACACACATACAGAAATCTATAYTGCAAAGCTGACATGGCACAGAAATAAAGAAAAATATCTGATTGATTTATGGTTGACTATAACTCACTGGTCCTCTTAGCTTATAAAACATCAAATGTTCTCACTTTCCAGTACCAGCTACATTTGGTAAAGAAATATGATTCCACAAACCTTTTAATCATAAGGAGTTATAACTGCAGGTCAGTCAAAAGCAAACTCAAAAGAGATTTTTTGGCTTTAGAACCAAAAATATACAGACATTTATGGCAAACTCGAAACACACTACACTTTCAATCTTAGCTGATGACAGACCAGACTAGATCACAAGAAGTTATCATGAAAACCACACATACTCCCACAAAACAACACACCCACACTATCTAGTGAAGTACAGAAGACCCAGGAAAAAACTTAAGAATGAAGAAGATGAATTAAAATTAAGGTAGAAAGTTATTATGAACAGGACACCTCTGAGGTTACTTTCTCTTACAGCTCTCAAGGCACAAGTCTATTATTTCTGTGCTCCTGTCAGTCTTTTTCAGACAGTCCACTATTTCAGTGCTCCTTACTGTCAGCTTAAGTAGCAGAGAGGACAGTTCTTACTGAGGATTCATCATCATGCCCCACAAAAAGTCATTGCTGTGTCAGAAGTATTGTGACTGCCTATTAGCTCAATCTGCAGAAACACACATGTAACACTAAAGCAAAATTTAATACAACTAAAATAGRCTTCCATATGCACTTTAAAAACTGTTTTTAGAGTACTATAATACCTGGTTCTGGATAGTGTTTTTCTGAAGGTACTGACTCCAAGGATCTGGTATCTGTTCATCTGCTCCTCTGTTAGACACCCGAGAATTTATTTTCAGCAAATAGCAACCCTGAGTTCCATACCTCTGTTTCATCTCTTCATAAATGGAGTCAGCTCTGAAACAGTAAAACAACATTTATCCTGTCTTGATATCAAAATAACTTTAAAGTGTGCACTATAACAGGCTATTTTAGACTATTATTCATAGCGCTTAAAAGGAAAATTCTCATATTTTTAGAAAAATCTATTATGCAAGAGTAAAACTGATAATCTTTGAGAATTAATTTAGTAACCTACCAAAGAAAGCATCTACCCCAAAACCTGGGATTGATTTGTTTCATTTTACATGAACACAAGATCTAGAAATAATACTTGCAAAAATCTGCCTTGATAATAGCATTCTAGTTAATGGATCCTGTTGCATGTCCAATCTCAACAGAATTTATCATCACAAACATTTCAGTCAAAGAGCTCATCTGTAAGTTCACTGAAGGCAGATGACCTACCTTTGTTCTTCTCCTGCGCTTACATCATGCAGTAAMACATAATATTTGAGTGTGTTTGGTATAAACCACTTGGGATATGAGTATTCACTACTGTGCTGAATCCGATGTTGTTCTTGTGACAGCTTCAGGAACTGCTCCACAGGGTCAGGTTCACTAGAAGAAACTACCAGCATACCTGAATTCATCATTAAGGACATATACCCAAAGAACACATGGACAACCACAGATCACAGCATAAAATAGGAAGTGTATAAAATAGAATAGATTAGTACAGTATTTAAGCACACAAAACATGCTAACACAGAAGTATGTGCAATTAGAATTTAGCCATATTCTCCACAAAAACAGTTAWCTAACATCTGTAAAATGAGATGCAATGGGAGTTTGCTCCAATTCTGACAGTGAATCTAAGTTTAAGTTGCTACATGATAGCTCATTTAAGATTTTAGATAGAGACCAGACATTCACATAGCAAACATATACCTGAAATTCATCCCCACTGTATTTGAGCTTTCAACTTAAAAGGAGAGTTGAGGTTTTAAGTTATCACCTGAACAAGTGATGACCAGTATTCACAAACACAGCAACGTATGTGAGTAAAAACCAGAAGTGTTCAGATTTTTATCTCAATGCAACTACACAATCATTAATAAGGAACATCCTGCTCTGCTAGATCTAATCACTAAATCAGAAGCCATTAATTCAGAGAAGCCAGAAAGCAAAGTTATACTTCAAATGCTACTAAATTGAGAAGCCAGAACCAGTATTTTGCGAAGTTAGCTCTGCACGAGTGTGGCCATTAATATACCTTTCCTCCATATAATGTACAGTACAGAGCTAGGAACAGTGTCATGAAATCTGCAGCATTATAATTACTGTAAAGCTAAACACCAGCTACCTCATGAAACACTGATTATTTTTAATTTCCCTGTAGACAAGCTTTTTTATCAAGCCTAAGCTTTGGTAAAAAAAAAAAAAAAAAAAAAAAAAAAAAAAAAATTAAAAAAAAATGAAAGCATTCAGGCATCATTCCAGTCTTCCCAGACTTCTTTTTGTCCAGAATAGTTCAAAGTTCACTGGTTTTCCACAACACCCTCTCCTCATCTTCCATGACCCCAACTGCTTACAAAAAGCTATCAAAAAGCAGCAGATGTATCCCAAACACACATTCCTCTGTTGCAGATAAGGGACAGTCAACAGATACTTAAAGAGCTGGAGCAGAAAGTGTCTTAGGATGAYGGAGTTTCTTTTACAAGTATTGGCTTTGATTTCACTTTGACACAAAAAGAGTATGTGGAGAAGTGGAAAAAAACCCTAATATGAACAGCACAAAAACAGTCAGGCCAAACAATCACGAAGAAAACCCTGACACCCTTTTGAAATCAGTCTGTGTAGTCAGACATACTGAAAAATATATAGGCTTTAAATAATAATTGCAAAAGAGTTATTACAAAATTTTCACTGTCTCCTACATTGCATTTTGTAACAGGCTTCCCTGGAGTRGTCTCTAATACTCAAAGGATACATGCAACATAGTGGTTTAAGAATTCATGATCTGATGCAGGCATGGACTGAAGAAAGCACTCTCTGTAAGACTCAAACCAAGGAGTAGTAGCTGAAATACACAATAAAATAGGACAAATTAGAGTATTCAGTGAAACTTGTTTACTCATTAATGAAAAGGAAGTATGAAAGAACTACACCTAAAGTGAAGCCTGCAAACTCTGAGAAGGTTTGCAGGGCAGGAGAAAGAAGGGGGAACAGTCCAAGGAGAAACTATTTTAGATGCTACAAAAGTAGGAGAAACAGTAACACTTGAATCAAATCCCGTGAAACTGAAGAGCATCTTAAACATCACACTCCCCAACGATGTAGGCTCAAATTTGCTCCTTGTTAAACTGACTACCCCTTACCACCCCTTTAAACATCCATACACTTGACAAAGAGAGAAATAAATTCTTCTAACAGTCACTGAATTTCCGGACTAGGGATGCTAAAAATTGAYCAAGAAACAAAATTCATTTTTGAGTATGTAGAGGAGCTAAGGATTACCAAAATCCTACCCTGCCTGTTTTCTAGAAGTGTTGATCTGGCTTGACAGCAGTCCCCTTCCCATGCCTTGCTAAACTAAACAGTTCAGCTGGCAAAGATCCARGAAGATAAAACCTCAGATCCAAGTTGTGCCACTAGTGTCTTATAATTTTAACCTGCCACATTAAATGCCCTTCTACAATAGGGATTGCAATTTTCCTAAGAGTAATAAATCAAGGGAAACCAGCGATGCCTGGGACATCAAAATAATATGTGAACCTAATACCGTCCATTTCTTTCCATTCCAACTATGGGTCAAACAATGAATTATTATTTCTTCTCCTGTTTCATGCCATCTAAATTTCCAAGTCCATTCCCTTGAGTAAGAAACAGACCCAAAGCAAAACCAATCCACTTTCAATAACCTGATTTCACACAGAAGTAACTGGAATCCAATGTCAACATACCTGCAAACTTTCACGTAGAGAAAAACAATTAGTAAGAAAATCTGAAAGTATTTTCTTTATAGGACCCTTAAAAAACCCACATTCCTAGACTTTAGTCCCTTAAAAAGTTCTCATGCTTTATAAAGCTCTCAAGCACCCCCTCAGGAAATCTAGSCAAGCTACCACCTTGATTTCTTAAGATGACTTTAGGAAACAGCTTCATTTTTATGTTGCAATTTTCTTCTAGGGCATTAATTTAATGCACTGTGTTTAATCTTATATTGTCAAGCCATTTTAGATTGGCTTCAGACACACAGAAGTCAGAARCAGTCACACTTCATAACTGAACTCAGCATTAAAAAAATACTAATAGGAGATAAACTTCTAGCTTTTGATTACAGTCTTTCTAGAAASTGCTCTCTGAGCACTTATCTAGAGTATAAAAAGCTCTTGGCTTTACTGAGTCCTACAKGCAAACATGCCAACTATTTAAATTAAGGAAAACACAGCTTGTTATTATTAAAAACGAACCRTAAGAAAGTGACTCATACACATTTTTCACAAGTATAACAAGCTGTGCAGTAACTCGGGTTCAAAGCAAACACAGTTAAACAACCTAGGGCAGAATTTTCAACCACACTGTAGTTTCAAGCACTGTCTTCAAATTTTCACTTTTGTTTTACAGCTGAATCGCAGCAAAAGGAAAAAAAAAAAAAAAACTTTTTTAAAAAATCTGACAGCTACAAACAGGGAAGTACTACTTTGTTTTGAGGACTGGTTCCCYCACCCTCTTTCCTCATTAGGCCTATTAAAAACCTTGGAGTGGCCTTAAAGGCAACTGGATTCCTTCCACACAACCACTCCACACAACATTAACAGGATTCACTCTTGCCATTTASAGGCATAGATACCTGATAAAGACAAACAAAACAAAAGCAATATTTGAAAAAAAATTCACAACTGTAACATCTCCTARCATGTTACAGCAGTGCATAACAACACTGTGTCATTTAGGTATCCAGACCTGTATGTTTTGCATTTTTCCAGTAAAATATTTCCAGCACACTGGAACAGAAGTGAAGTTTTGCCAAACTTGTTAGCGTGTTCAGAACTTGTTAAGAAAAAATAAATTTTAAGTAATATTTGTACATAGCAGCTTAAGAATGGAAAGTCTGCTTCATAAAGTTTTGTACTCTTTAGGCATTTAGCTGCATCTGAAAAGAGACTATTGAAAGGATAGAGACTGTTAAGCAAAGATAAAAACTATATCAATATCTAAAACAGAGAAACATCAAAACCTGCCTCTTACAGGCCACAATGCAGAGCCTTGAGAAGTCAATAACCAATGTAGTTTGGTAGCAATAAATCATCAGTAAGTCTTAAAAATCACATAAAAATGTATTAGGAAGCTTTTTCCAACCAGTCATACTCCAGAAAGAATCTCAACAGAGCACAGACGTATATGCTGTAAGTACAGTCAGCACTTGAGTTTCAACTTAAAAAGTGTTTCTATCCCAAGAAGAAAGCTCTCCAGTGAAGCAGAAAGTACATCTGGAATACAACAGTGACAGTATACAGTTCCATAGGATCAAACAATCCGGTGTTTTTACAGCATCAGGTAATTTACCACCATCACCCTCATTGATTGTATGGAAAGACCAAATGATTTTGATTAACAAGAGTAGAAATGGGATTAAAAGAAAAATTAAAACAACCACCACCACGGATTTTTCAGTTAGGGGAAAAAATGGAGGAACACACATCTACGTCCAGAARAGTACTAAACAGTTGTAGCAGATGGTAAGGAAAGGTGGATGGGGCACATGRAAAAGAAGTAAAGGGCAATTTGGCAAATTGGCACCAACCACAAAAAAATACCTGAATAAAACGTGGATGTGTTCAGTTCCATCAGTGTCTCTTTCCAATTATTGTACCAAGGAACACTAGCTTTAACTGAGCGATCTGATAGAAAAAACATGATATTATTATACTAAAAAGGATCAGATGCAAACACACTCTTGGCTTTTAGACTCTGGTAGCATGAAGAAGAAAAAAATCTACACCATGCAGGTTCATCAAGGGCACTGAAGAGATTTGATTCCAGCTAACCTTAATCATGAATATTTCAGGCTCCTTAACATTTGACAGTGTGTTTTAATGGAAATCAATATTAATTWCTAGTTCAGCCCCAATTCTAGGTTCAAACAAAAATGGAAATKATATCAAGTAGTAAAGATTTAAGTTATATCTAGATGYTATTTCTATTTTACTAGTTGKAAGAKACTCTAAATCCAAGGCASTAGCTTGTGGTATTTCCCRGTCTATAGCACTAGTTAAAAGTAASYGAAKTCAGCAGCAGCCCAATATTCTCCYTCATCTCAGTCATATTCTCCCAATGCCTTATGCCAGCATTTACATCATGAAGCCCTGAACAAACAGAGCCAGGAACTAATTKATTCCGCTGAAAAAGATTTTTTCTTCTCTCAAATAATTTAATTCTTTAGTGGAATCATTTTTCTTCACTTTATGCATATACCAGTACATCAGAGAAGCAGGCATGGCTGAACATAAGCTGCAACTTTTCTGCAATCAAACAAAYCTCTCAGCACTAGACTATGGAACTACAAGAATATTAAACAACAGTTGTAACAAAGAAGGATTACAAACAATTAAATCAATACAACAYAGCATTTCCAAAACTTTTCTGAAAAAGGGAGCAGGATCATGACCCCTGTGCCAGAAACAGCTTCTTAAAGTTTGTGTCTTTCTTCAAAACAGACTGCACTTAATCATCATTAAAAATTAATAAAATATTATTTAATATTTTATCCTTGAAAACTAATTCACCCCCAAAGAAGAACAAATTCAAGAACTCATAAGAGTATTTTACATTTTAAGTTCTGTTGTCCAGAATGAATACATCCATTGGTTTGAATAAAATGTTCTAAGAAAGTTAAAAAAACCAACCTAAATGTCTTGAAAAATACAGTCATCTAAGCCTACAGGAACCCTACTTGGTCCTTCCTCATATCTTCTTACATGGGACACAAATTCCTTCATGAAGACCACTGTCAGTGTTTTGTGCTAAAACCCCAAAATAAGGTTCCACTGAATTACAATGCTCTAACATGATTTTGTCCTTTTGTATGATCCTAACTTATGATCCAGCTTATATACCTCTTCTCCTGTCAAATAAGCATATAGACAGTCTTAATGGAAATGAGATCCTAATCACTGAGAAACAGAAGATTGTCAAACATGGTAATTTGTACATACAAGGCTCCAGCAACAAAAAAGGAAAACAAAAGGAGAGAGATTTGTTTCTATAACTACAAAGCAGGGCTTAGTATAGCCACTGTTTTTCTTCCCTTCTTTCAATACCTCACTCCTAAACTGAGATCATTAGAAGAAACCTTATGGAAAAGTCTCTTCACTGAAACCATTCTGCTTTCTTAGGGTCTTTCCATCTCTAAAACTGAAGCAAACTTTCCATCAGAAAAAAAATTGTAACATAATGGCAATTCACCAATGTGACCTATAAACAAGGGTCAAATTGTTTATCATCAATCAAAATCAAAAAGATCAAATCAAAAAGATGTGGGGTTTTCAACTGATCTCAAAAACAAGAGGTTTCCAGCCTCAGGTCTTTTCCTTTATTACCAACACTTGACACAAAGTTGAAGATGTACGTCATAAATCAGGTATCAGGTAGCAAAGAATTATGCCATTTTTCTATCATCAACATAAAAAAAAATCTTCTACAGCAACATCAGTTACTAATCTTCATGAAGTTTCAACAGCCTCTTGCTATAGCAGAGCCAAACTCTTCACTGCAGGGTGAACTTTAAATACAATAAATTACCCATGTTTAAATAGGGCAGTGCATACATGCTTTGAACTACTAAGTACGTACTCAGAGGCTTTAATGGATTAGGATCTTAATTGGGAGAAGTTTAATCTCCTCAGCTCCTAACATCAGGTYTCATTTAGCATTATTCACAATGCTTCACCCCTTGGAGGTCTGAGAAAAAAGACATTTTTAGAATACTCTGGTCATTATGACAGTGAAACATAAAGTATGAGTTCCAGGGAAGAAAAAAAAAGATAAGAAAGCAAAAGAGTCACACACACCTTTCCTCAAAATTCTTTTTCCTTAAACATTTTATGACTTTATCATAAAAACAAAAGCCAGGAAGACTGATAGAGCTGTACATTAGTACCAACACTGTAAGTAAGCTCTGATATTTATTCAGCCAACTACAAGTCACTGTATCAATTCTGTAACAAGAAAATATGACAACCAAAGCAGCAGCAATTGCTACGTTAAAATAATGATTTAACGCAAGTTCAGAAGAATTATAACATTAGGAAGATTAAAATTATTAAGTTCAACCACTCTTTCAGCATTATATAAAACCAAAACTATTTGATAAATCCAAAGTTTCAATAAAAGCAATGACTGAAAACTGAACAACTCTGAATWATTTTAGTATATGCCAGGAAGCTGAAATGAAGGTTAGAAACCTTACAGCCAATTCCAGTTTACATTACAAAAGATACAGCATCATTACATACCACTGATGTTGAGATCATAGTCTCCAGCTGTGATCACATTAGCTACCAGTCCTTCCGCAGGCTGACTGACACACACAACATCATGCAGAAGTTTCCGAATGGCACCGGGCTGAGGGGGTTGAGTAATGATGTTGTTGACAGCAATCTTCAAATTTTTAATGATGTGAAGCTGATTATTAGGATCTCTCATGTGAACTAAAAAGGGAAAAGAAAACAATCTGTTGAGGAGTGTAACAGTTAAAATAATTGTCACAAAGTTTTCCAACATATTTTTTCTTTAATGATGACTCCACTAAACTTCTCCAATTTTAGATCACAGTCCATGGACTGCTTGACTACCAAAAATGGAGGGGGGAAGGCGATAACAAAAAGTTACTTCATGTTCAACATTAGGCTCATCTAGACAGTCTGAATAAAGCASGACATAGGATCTTAGTTTGTAAGAATATCCACTCCATGTAACGTAGTACATGTACATCCTGTACTGATGCATCCCCTTCCTGGTAGAACATAACTTTCACAGGAAAGCTACAGAAACCATGAATGGATTTCACATGTTTCAAAGAATCACCAATGTCCAAGAAACCCCTAGCACACAATAAATAGCATTTAAGAAACCTGACAGGGATAACATAGTTTTCATCCATCCAAAATGAACATACCCTAAAAGACAGGCTCACACCGTTGGGGTTGCTCATCCRGGAGAAGAGAGGGCTCTGGGGAGCCCTTAGAGCAGCCTTCCAGCACCTAAAAAGGACTCGCAAGAGAGCTGGAGAGGTGCAAGTTTGTGTAGTGACARGACAAATGGGARTGGTTTAAAACTGAAAGAGGGCAGATTTAGATGAGATGTGCGGAAAAAATTCTTTACTGTAAGGTTGGTGAGGAACTGGAACAGGTAGCCCTAAAATGCTGTGGATGCGCCAACACTGGAACAGTTCAAGGCCTGGTTGGATGGGGATGTGAGCAACCTGGTCTAGTGGAAGGTGACCCTGACTATGGCAAGGTGAAGTCAGAACTAGATGGTCTTTAAGTTCCCTTTAAACTTAAACCATTTAYGATTTTTAATATATAGCTTCCTTTGTAGAATCCATGTGAAATCTTGCTCCCTCAGCCATCTGTTTTTAAAAGAATATTCAYAACATTTTCAACACTTGTTACAATTCTGGGCCTGCTGTGATTTTTCATGTAATTTTCCCATATTTCAAATCACAACCACCATCAAGCAAGCCAGACTGTGAGCGCAGGCAAGACACATTGACTATGGGTGCCCAGGCCACCTGGTGCTACCACATGCCCCACAGCACAGGCCTTGATTCCTCTGCTTTTTATTTTCACAAATCCCTGTACAGCATATAAAACGCAACRCAAAGGAAAATTCTTCTTGTTCTCCTCATCCTTCAACTAACCACAGAATTCACACCACAAAGGTCTGAAACTAAGAATTCCATCTCCTCCAGCCTGGAAACTACTCCACACCTTTTCCACAATCCTTTTCAGAAGTAACAAGTACACAGCTAAAGTCAGATTACACTAGATATGTTTACAATCAATCTTAAATGTTAAAACCAATTTCTAATGTGGTTCAAATCTTGACTGCAGAGTTCTAGCTTCCTCAATCACACATTCAGTCCCAACCTTTACCTRGCTCTCTGGCTCATGTGAAAACACAGTAGAACAGATTAGAAAACTTGTCCTGCCCAAAACAACCTAAAAATGTGCAGGTTTTTTTAGCTATACATTTCATACTGAACTTATACATCACAAGGCTATATCAACATCGGGAAGGGCAACTGTGCCGGCTAAAATTAACTTATCCACTTCAGCATTTCTAACAGAAAGCTGAAGAAGTTGTTTGGGGTGTTTTTTTTAATCTTATCACATAGGTAAATAATAAACCCTACTGCCATACAATACTGAAGTTATCAAATGTAAAATGGCAGGGACAAACTAGGGAACTAGTTCACCTTCAGCCGTGCAGCTGCAACACTACAACTCATCCTTGGTGTGTGCCCTAAAATACAAGAGCAACCACATTTCCATACAGAATGCAGATGACATCTCTGGCATATGTTCAATGTTAAGGACTGACATAACAGACATATTTGGAATCCCCAAAACCACTCATCTTAATTAAAAAATATCTAGTGCTATACATTTCAGAAAGTATTTATAASATCATTTCAGAAGTACTTTGCCAAAAGTGGCAGCCATAGCACGTTAGAATAACTTTCTCATCAGAAGTTGAAAACAATCAAATGCTAAGATATGCATGAACAAGGAATTCCCAACATCACTCTGATCTCACGTAAGCACAGCTTTCCCATTATATGTCCTTAAATCTTGCACATATTTAAGGTTTAGAATCAGAAAAAGTTATCAGAAGCTCTTCCTCCTTTTTTTTTTTTTTTTTTTTTTTTAGGTTAGACACTTCGGTTTAAGAGTAACTAATGCAATCTTAAAGTTGTACTCGCTAATTGAAGAGTACACTGCAATTCCCTTTCCTATGAAGACAATATTAGTTCATAGAGTTTTTTAAAGATTCTTTAAAATCTTTAAAAGACTTGATACTATTTTAAAGAACGTTTATCTATACAATGCATACATTGGTTAAATGAGGCATCAATTGTTACTCACAACACTTTGAGAATAAATTTGAAGATGTAAAATCCTCAATATACTTTTGATTTCCTTTATTAAAGGAAGTTCAAAGTTCGGGGAGGGTTTTGGTTTTGTTTGCCTCTACAGTCAAGACTTACAGGGATAATAAAGCTGTCCTCTAGCTTTTTTACACATTTCTCCTGCCTTAATTGGAGTCAATTTATTTATGGAAGTCAGGAGGCTAAAAGTTACAGGACAGAGTGCTCTGTATCTGTGCTCAGGATATTCTACCATCACAGTTTGATATATTGCAAGGACATTTTTGCCTACACCAACATTAGCAAGTCACTGATAGGCCAAAGTTGATGAGTAAATTAAATACTAATTAATGCAGAGGGTGGTCCCCCTACATCTACATTACATATCTTTGTGGGGTTCTACCTGAAATTAGATATAATCTGGCCTCCTTGGATTAAGCAACCTCAGCCATGTGCGGTTTTACACTATCTGAAGAATCAAGCAGTGTTCTGGTCCTTCACATCTCTGTTAGCACATGTAGGACAACTGATATGTACACAGTAGAGACTTCAGCTTAATTCCTGTTTATCAGAACTATTTTGCACTCAGTATACTTTATATATCAGTAGACTGCACTCAATATACTTTGTATATCAGTAGATTCAACTGCACTGCTTSTCTAAGCAAGAAAGCTGATGAACACGCAGCCTTCAGCTGGTTCACAAGCCACGCAATTTCTTATTTCAAACAAAAATACATACTGTAGCCGGACTCTAAAAATGCAGTAGCAAACCCATGACTGAGCTTTTCAAGTYACAAAAGAGTTAGGGAAGCAATGCACGTACTTTGAAGTTCTGCCTAAGTAAGGGACAGTTTATTTCTAAAAGGATGAAATACCTTAGAATACCTTTAGAAGCCAATTCTATGCTACAAATTCAATGAAATTGCCACTAAGAGAAGAGGATTAATTTAAAATGRACRKCATTTCACACTTCCTTAAGAAAAACTATGCTTAGAAGTGAAGACACCAAAACAGAATTACAGAATCATGGAACTGTTATGGTCGGAAGGGGYSTCTGGAGATCACCTACTCCAACCTCCCTGCCAAGGTAGGGTCAAACAGGTAACACAGGAACCATCCAGGTGGGTTTGGAATGTCTCCAGTAAGGGAAACCCTGCAGCCTCCCTGTYCCAGTGCTCTGTCACCCACAYGGAAAGAAGTTCTTCCTCATGCTGAAGTGGAACTTCTTGTATTTTAGCTTATGGCCATTGCTCCTCATAGAACCCTCAGAACAGTTATCACAAGAACATCATAATCATGCATGAGAATAATATTACAACCATAAGCAGTAAAACACACCAATGTGAAGGCATGTCATGTACACACATTCTGCTGCACCACAATCAGATCATTTAACGATGCCTTTCTTCCTTTCTGTCYTTATCCTACACAAGAACTGCTTCTAACACAAGAACTCACAGCCAGCATGCAGCAACACTTTTTCCACGATGCCAGAAGAAGTCACACTGGGAGTGAGGAGTGGGATTCAGGCCTGTGGCTGGTGAGATCACAACACACACAGAGCAGTGCAGCAACAAAACCCAACTGCATGAAGTTTCACTCAGGGAGCACTGAGGATAATTCAAGTTTGCAAGTTCCTTAACTGTCACAACAATTGGAAAAAAATAGTTGCAACTAAGTAACACAAGAATTAAATATTCTTCAGAGCAAATGCTTCATTTTGAATAGTCTGCCTGGTTTTGTTTGCTAGATGCATTTTTAAAGCCCTTCACCAAAAGAAAGAGGTAATCAATTTTAGAATTGATTAGACTTAGAATGTGAGCAGCTGCATTTATTATCTCCGCTGTGTTCTCAWATAGCTCATGAGTGTTGCTACACTGAAAAATATTCACAAACAAGTTACAATCCGTAAGTTACTACGACTCACCACAGAATTCATGAAGATTTTTAACACCAAGCTGCTTTTAAAACGGTTGCTATTTTTCACAAGAGAAATGCAAAAATCTACCGAGAATGAYAATACAAGCTTCGTTTTACTTGTGCTCTTTCCTCAGCACAATGGGACACAAATTCCTTCATGAAGACCACTATCAGTGTTTTGTGCTAGAAACCCGAAATAAGGTTCCACTGAATTATAATGTTCTAACATGATTTTGTCCTTTTGTATGATCCTAAACAGCTTATATACCTCTTCTCCTGTCAAACAAGCATATAGCCAGGCATGCAGAGGCTGAAGTCTGAGCTATGTGTCTGTCAGAAACCAAATCTGACACATACCACTGCATCACTGACAAATGTCCTATTGATGTCCTGCACACTATTTTGATGAGTGGTGGCTTGAAACGCATAGTTTACTTCATTAAAAAAAAAATACAAAACCAAAATAACCAAATTCCAGACAGTACGTTAAAGCATTGCAGCTAAAGAATCTACTGTTTCTCTTAAGTGGTCAATGTCTAGTTTTCCTGCTGCTTCACGTGGTCATTTTACCGATGCCACACGAGCAGCTCGATTCCCACCTCTTCTCTGCTCAACTCTTACTCACAAAAACATCAACAAAAAAAGCATATAGGATAAAGCTACAGATGAGAGAARGGAAAGTCGTGCAACTGAAACTACAATTAATGTTTCTGAAAGACTGGCCGTACTTTCAACGCCTGGGTACTGAGTCTACGGCGAAAGTCAGGTATGAGTATTAGGGAGGTAAAAGTAAAGTGGTTTTAATGGAAAACAAAAATCCGTGTGGAAGAGTTCACTTTACAGACACCTTCCTCTACAGCCATGGAATCTCTGCAGGAGAARCCCAACTTCCCAGATTCCGCAGACCGAATGAAACTAAGCTAAGTTAACAGCTGTCATCTGCGACAACCTCGGCAAACGCGTGTCTCCGCCAAGCCTGTCACGGCTGCGGGTGGCACCCACCCGAGCGGCCGCCGCCAGGGCCCCAGGAAGCCCCGGCCGGCACAGCCGTGCGGGACCCCCGGAGGCCGCGGGCGGCAGAAGAGCGGCGGCACCGCCTCCCCCGCCCGGTGTAAACAACGCGCTCCGCTCCCGGCACCGACCTTCCGAGGTGAGGCGGCAGAAGGGCCTGACCAGCTCGGCGAAACTCAGGTTGTTCCTGCGGGTGAGCCGCTCCGCCTCCTCGCTGCACAGCGCGGCCACCAAGGGCACGAACGAGTCCTGGATGAACTCCTGCACCGACTGCACGCACTGGGCCATCGCCGCCGCCGCTCGGGGCCGCCCGAGACAGCCCCGCCACCTTTCTCCGCAGTTCTACGGATTATTCCCTCCCTCCTTCCCTGGCCGGCGCCTGCCCGCGGTGCGTGTCCGCTGCTCCGGCCCCGCTCAGCGCCCGCCGAGCGCCGCCATGTTGCGCCTCAGCCGAGCCCCTCGGRGAGCGCCCGCTCCCGGCGGCCCCCGCGCCCGCTCATGTGATTGGCCGGAGGGGCGCGGCCGGGACGGGGAGGGGGAGGCGACGGTGGCCGGGCCGGGGGGGGCGGAGGGTTCTGTGCTTCCCCCCCCACCCCGAGCGGGCAGTTGGTGCGGTCCGGGGGGCGGGGCCATGGGGTGAGCCCAGGGAATTCCTGGAGCCGGGAAAGGGTTTGGCCGGGAAAGCTTCCCACGGGAGGAA